GAATTCGACCCATGTATGACCGGATTTAACCTCAGTATTTTGAGTACTTTATGAAGGAAGTACAATTTAAAAAAAGGCAATGACGTGTTTGAAAGATTGGAGAAGGCTCTGATGTATGAGGAGCAGCGACAGCAAGAAACATGCAACCAAATATGGATATCGTCATTTTCGTTCTAATTTCACACCATTTTTTTTTTAAACAATCAGAACAACCAACCATACCAAACATTTACCAGTTGTAAGCTGATAGTTGTTTGCTATGAGATACTGCATTGTTTATATGCATGGTTTAAACCTTCTGCCCCCCCCCAAAGAAAAAAATCTATATCGTAGCCTATCATTCCTTAGATGTGATGGCTGCATTAATGTTCCTATTTCAGGCTATTTTCCTTTACTTTTACTTGGTGATTGTGCCAGTAACATGCTTTCTTTCCCTGGGTGACAGTGCTCACTCACTGTACTGTATCTATGGAGGAGAAGCATTGTCACACCCTGGGCTGCTCTCCTGAATTGAACTACAAAAACTTCCTCCTCTGTCCAAAACATAGGTGGAGAAGTTTTGTAGTTCACACAGAATAGCATGGAAAGCGGATTATGTAGTTCATAGAGGATAGCATGGAAAGCTGATTACATTGTTTGAGATTTCAGTTAAGTTGAGGATTATGCAGCAGGGGAGTACAACATAATAGAACAGTATAAATGATGGGCATAATTCAGCAAGGCACATGTTTGAAACAACTAAAACACATCTGTAACTTTTCTTTAGGATAAGATATATATTGTGAAATTAGTTCACAAAATCATATTCATCTAAGCATGGCGCTGGAGAATAAATCAACAGGAACGCTAGGATACATTTTTCGTTTCCTTTGCTAAAGAAAACCCTGGAAGAGAATGATTACAAATTGAGGTAGTCCTGTCACATGCTGTATTATGCTCACTACATTGGAATAAAAGAATGAAGGAAGGAGAAATGATTAGTTTTGTAGCAGTGAAAAAAAAAATCACACAGAGAAATGATAGAGAACCACGTTAAGCAGGTAAGAGGTAATGGATACCGTTGAGGAATCAAGCTCATCTGTGATATTGGCACTCTTCACTTCAGTGGTTTCAGGCTCCTATGGTGCAGCAAATAAGCATTTGTTAGAATTGCATACATTGTGAGCCAAATCCATAACAGGTCTAGCCATTATAAAAACATAACACAATAGCGTTCTTTGTCAATACTCTTCATTCTCATTGTATTTTTCATAAAATGATTAAGCAGATGCTGCTTTATACGGTAAAATTATTGAGCTTTTAAATAAATACAGCACTTGCAAAACTGTGTCTGCCTTTAAAATTATGTCGGGGTTGTCATCTGATTGTAGAAAGTTAAATATCTAATAGATATGGTTGAATGATTTCAGTTTTTATGTTTCAAACAGGAGGAAAAATGCTGAGTATTTTTTTCTCTTACTGAAACAGTTTTTAAAAGTAAAGAAAAAGAACACTTGAGAATTAATTTAATTGCTTCAACATTCAGGATATTTGCAATTTATGCTAGTTTATTTGAAGCACGTGTTGCATTGAACTATGGGTAGCTCCATGCATGCTACACACACTATAGATACATGTTATCATTAAAAAGTGGCAGATCTTTAAATAAGTAAATATGATTTTGGAGAAGTTAGAATGGCATGTAAATAGAGGGCTTAATAATAGAAAGGGGTAATATCCAGTTATGGCCTCTGTCAGTCTGCTGCTATTAACAAAAATGCTCTGATTTGATTTATTTGCCCCCCCCCCCCCCTTTCATGAAAATACTAATTCCTATCCTATACGTTATTGTAAAGCTGCTCTGCGCAATACAAAATCTCCCATATTATTGTAGAGGGTGCCATGTATATTTGCCAGCACAGAGTGCATGCATTATTCACGGATCCATATTTTTTTAAGCTATTAGGAAAGTCTTTTATAATATAGTAGAAGGTTTCATGTACAATTTATATCATAGCAGCTGCTAAATGCATAGTGCACATTGGCTCTCCGAACTTTTATTTGTGTCATGGGGTGACATATAGCACTGTAAGGTGAGAATTAACTGTTCATGTTCCCACATATAGTTTGAAGTAGTTTGGAGGCTAATATGGTTACTACAATATGACCGCAAAACAGAAACCATGAAAAGCCCATGTGCATCATAACCTTTTGGTGAACTTATTAGAAAAGGAATATTATGCAGAATATAACCACAATGTGCATGTTTGCATCCCTGACTGCAATAAAATGGACAGAACTTTCAGCCACATTACCAAGGCATGTCTGTGCAATCAACATTTCTACCAGCAGACAAATAAGAGGGAAAAATCAGCCATGTTGCTGAGGATGTATATTGTGGAAAAACCCCAACTCTTTGCCCCCAGCCCCACAGACTGGCTGAGCCATCTGTTATTTTGTGAGAATGCAGTTGTATTGTCACATTACTCTATATTGCATTATACAGTATAACTCTATAAAGTAGAGTGTGAGCTAGACTTATATTCAGACTTCTACCTTTTGGAAGTTCTTCACTTTGATGTCCTGTATTTCTGATTTACATTAATCCATTGGATGTCCGAAATTAATTATTTTACTTTAATAAAAATAAAAATTAAGAAGGCCACCTTTTAAGGATCACGTCTATATACCTCTGCAATCAGCAAGATCTACCTCATTCTTTAATGCGGCTTGGATTATGCTACAACAATCTTCAAAACCCAGATTACAATAATAGTCATATACTGCAAGTCAAAATAAACAGCTTGAATTCCTCATTTACATAAAATATCAATTAATAAAGGATATTACATTTATACCATACCAAAGGATCTTGTTTTTCTCAATGTAAAAAACAGATCGAAGTGTAAGGAGGGATTGAGAAATAAATATCTCTTATTTCAGTGTCCCTATTTTGCCCATTTAATGTCTGGCTTACTCAAATGACACACCTATTATGATATAAAATTACATAATTTTTGAAACGCGGGGAAGGTCTTTGACTACATAGAAAAAAAAAAGTCCAGAAAATGCAGACATTGAAAATTGTACTGTATTCTTTCTATGGTGATCATTATATTGTCCCTTATACTGGAGGGGAGTGGAGAAATTACCCCATATGCAGGTGATCAGAATAGTGTCTCCTTGCATCTGCAGTCAATGTAACATTCTCTTAAGTTGGTGTTCAGAGGAGTAATGTTCCTATTATTGACATTGAATTGAATGCCCTCTTAAACTAGTTGTCAGAGGAGATGGGCTCCCAAACATTGTTGCTCACTGAAAAAACAGCCCTTTTACATGTCTATAAAGAAGTGTATCTTTTTATTGGTGGTCATTGGAGTAGTGCCTCCTTACACTGGTGGTCACTGGGAGGAAGAAGGTCTCATTACTTTGTTAGCCAGAAGAATTCTACTTACATTAGAAGAATATTCTGTACAATTAGTGTTCCATGGGAAGAATGCCTCTTACATTGGTGCTCAGTATGATAAAGGGCCACCTGATATTGACATTCTACAGGTAGAATGCGCCTTACGTTTGTGGTGCTTTTTGCATTGGTGATCAGTGAAAAGAATGGTCAACTATATTGATGGTAATTGGGAAAAACTGCCTTTTGCATTGGTGGGCAATGGGAAGAATTTCCCTTTATGTTGCTGGTCAGTAAAATAACCACCCCTTACTTTGGTGGTCACTGGAGTACCTCCGCTCAGTTATGGTATGTTGAATGAATGCCTTTTCAGACAGCTGAAAAAAATAATTGCCAAGTGATGTTGGTGCAGGTACTATGCTGATCAGTTAGACAATGCACTCTCTAATTACACCCTGAGAAGATCACTTCCCCTGCCTTGCCATCACTGTGCTAATGTCTACCTACACTTAATAATATCCATGAGAATAAATGGAAATATTACACACCCAAACACAGGGAGCCCACATAGCAATGTGATCTGGAAACAGTTATTATGAGACTTTAAGATCACCCAGAATATCTTGTACATAGAATCTAGAAAATAGTTTACCCACTGGCTTCCATATAGCATTGTGTATGTGTTTTTCTTTTTTTTTTTTGTGGGTGGGAGGGGAATAAAATTATATATTTATTCTCAATGGGTTTTGAAGAGAACACAGGCCTATGGGATTTGAAATTCCCTTGTAAAAACATTTAAGACATGTTTGCTAGACAATACTGCATCCACATGCCAACCATTGTTCTACCTACTCATGCAAAATGCAAAAAGAAACTCACAAAATAAATGCAAAAATAAATCACAAAACACTGTCAGCTAATTTAATGGGCAGCTTATTGTAATTTCTGTCGCACCATAAAAGTTATCTTTACTTCAACTGTGAACACAACTTTGCCATGGGGATTATTTACTAAAACTGGAGAATTCAAAATCTGATGCAACTCTACATAGAAACCAATCAGCTTCCAGGTTTTGTTGCCAACACTTAACTGAACAAGCTGAAGTTAGAAGGTCATTGGCTACCATGCACAGCTGCACCAGATTCTGAGTGTACAAGTTTTAGTAAATCCCCCCCCCCCCCCCCCCCCCCCCCCCATACGCTCAATGTAGCTGCTAAGAGCTTCCATCTAATAGTTGGGCATTAAAATAAATTCTAATAAATAATTGGATGATTACCTGTCAATCAAAGTACCTAATGTTTCATGGGGTGAAATCATTTTTATGTTCAGCAGGATGAAAATAACCTTTAACAATATAAGCAAGGTTCCAGCCTTGAGCTCAGCTCTATCTATCTATCTATCTATCTATCTATCTATCTATCTATCTATCTATCTATCTATCTATCTATCTATCTTTATGTACAGCTTCTATCATGCAGGTCATGACTCACAGCACTTGGTAGAGTACAAATGTTTTAATTTAGTATTGTATAGTGAAAGAATATGTTTTTAAACATAAATTAACACCTTTTTAACAGATTAATATAATATATAATAGTAGGGTTTATTAATCACTTACAGTAGGTGGAACAGAAGGTGGAAATGCTGGAATGACCTTTGGTGCAGTGGTTGCTTCAGGTCGAGGGAGGACTAATGCTTGAGTAACGTTTTTTCTCTTTATCTTCCTCAAGTGTACTGTCAGGCACCAACGTAGGACATCTTCCAATATCTGCATTCTCAAAAGATACAGGCTGAGCAAAGTCTATTGGCCTGTCAGGGTATACAAAAAAATATCCATCACATACATATTAAATATTTTAACATTAAACTAATTTCATTACATATCAATAGTTTTAAAGTGACTCTTCAACTATAAGGGAATAAGTAGAAACTGCTGGGGTGACAGCCCTCTATTTTAGGGCACTGGAACAGGAATTCAAAGGACATTTCTCTAAGAGGGTCATAAAAAACAATTTTAATAGTGTGGGAAAGTGTTAAAGGAGTCCTGGCAGCCTTCTGATAATGCTAGTTGCTTGTCTCTCTCTGGCTTCAATTTTGAGTCACTGACCTGAAACAATCTTGCAGCAAGCAAAATTGGAATGAAGTTAGAACTACTGATCTGCATACTTGTTCAGTGCTGATGACACACACGCCCCTTCTTTGTGCCCGTGCAGCTTTAGTGTCTGCTTCCACTTCTATGGGCTGCCTGGGTGCAGCTCTGAGATGGCTTACATGAAGCAGACAGTGGTTCTGCACAGAGGATGGTTCTCAGCGTACATCTGCATGAGCCCTAAGAAGACCCTGACAACAACTTTAAGTTGCAGTTAAAAGACGAGAAAAATAAAGTGTTTTAAATGCTCACTTGCAGTGTTTTTTCTTTCTATCAATGCTTTTTATTTACTTGTCAATGTTCCTCTGAACTTGATAGATAATTTGACAACTCCATAACAGTAGGTTCTCTAGCAGTGCCCTCTTACTCTCTGAAGCACGCGCACATCACTCCCATACTTGAAAAGCCCTCCCTGGACCCCACTGACCCGAACAACCTTAGACCCATCTCCCTGCTGCCATTTACATCCAAACTCCTTTAGCGCTTAGTCTATAACCGCCTAAGCTCCCACCTCAACAACAACAACCTCCTCGACCCCTTACAGTCTGGCTTCTGTCCCCTACACTCCACCAAAACTTCCTTACTCAAACTCACCAACGACCTGCTAAACGCCAGAGCTAATGGCCACTATTCAGTGTTCCTACTCCTCGACCTCTCCGCGGCTTTCGACACAGTCGACCACCCCCTCCTCCTCAAAAAATTACACTCCCTTGGTCTCAGAGACTCCACTCTCCCCTGGCTCTCATCCTACCTATCACAACGTGCCTTCAGCGTTACCTATAACGCTACCACCTCCCCCTCACTCTCCCTCTCTGTTGGGGTCCCTCAAGGCTCTGTCCTCGGGCCCCTTCTCTTCTCCATCTACACCTCCTCCCTTGGTCAACCATACACTCTCACGGCTTCAACTGCCACCTCTATGCTGACAACACGCAAATCAATGTCTTGACCCCTCGCCTCACCCCTTCAGTCTCCGCCAGAATCACTAGCCTACTGAACGATATATCAGATTGGATGTCGCTCCACTTCCTCAAACTGAACCTCTCCAAAACTGAGCTCCTAGTCTTCCCCCCCAGCCCATGCACCCCCCCCCTCACTGACTTCTTCATCACGTCCAACAATGCCACCATCAGGCCCACCCCGCAAGCCAGAGTACTTGGTGTCATTCTTGACTCCAATCTATCCTTCCAGCCCCAAGTCCAATCACTAACAAACTGATGCAGACTCCACCTCCACAACATCTCCAAAATACGCCCATTCCTAACCCCAGAAACTACTAAGCAACTCATCCAGTCCCTCATCATATTACGACTCGATTACTGCAACTCCCTCCTCACTGGCCTGCCTCACCACAGGCTATCCCTCTCTTCAGTCAGTCGATCCTGAATACGGCGGCCAGACTCATCCACCTTACCAACCACTCCGTTTCTGCCACCCCCCTCTGCCAATCCCTCCACTGGCTTCCAATTGCCCAACGGATCAAATTCAAAATGCTAACACTGACAAAGCTGTCCATAACTCTGCCCCAAACTACATCACTGACCTAATATCCAAATACCACCCAAAATACACTCTCCGCTCCTTGCAAGACCTCCTTCTCTCTAGTTCCCTGGTCTCCTCCCATGCCTACCTCCAGGACTGCTCCAGGGCATCACCCATCCTCTGGAACTCCCTACCCCAATCCATCAGACTATCACCTACTCTCCTCTCCTTTAGGCGCACCCTGAAAACCCACCTCTTAAGGGAAGCCTACCCCGCCCTCTGCTAATTGCCAACCTCCTCCACTCTTCCTAACACTCCATCCCCCACAGCTTTTCCTCCCATACCACTATCCCCTCCCTCCTAGATTGTAAGCTCCAAGGAGCAGGGCCCTCGAACCCCTCGTGTATCGCATTGTATTGATATTGTACGGTCTCATGTATTGACTCCCATTGTAATGTGCAGCGCTGAGCGAACTGTTGGCGCTATAAAAATACTGTATAATAATATCAGGGCCCTCTTGTTTTCTGGAAGTATCTAATTACTCTGTGATGGCCCAGCATCTCAATTGTTTACCCTATACTGTATAACCTTCTATGCAGCTGCTGGAGGAAATGAGCTAAGGGGAATAATATAGAGCACAGGTGTCAAACTGTTGGCCCTCCAGATGTTGCCAAACTACAAGTCCCATGAGGCATTGCAAGATTGACAGTTACACGTATAACTCCCAAAAGCAGATGCATGCTAGGAATTGTAGTTTCTCAACAGCTGGAGGGCTGCCAGTTTGACACCCCTGATATAGTGTCATATGAGTGACACCACAAAGCCAGGTGGGACTACTGACATCCCATGCAAGATGGCAGTATTCAGTAGCACTCTCATGGCTTCTGAGTGTGTACACAAGTGTGAGGAACAGAAGTATTTGAACACCCTGCGATTTTGCAAGTTCTCCGGCTTAGAAATCATGGAGGGGTCTGAAATTCACATTGTAGGTGCATTTCCACTCTGAGAGACAGAATTTAAAAAAAAATTTAGGAAATCACATTATATGATTTTTAAAGAATTTATTTGTCTTGCACTGCTGAACATACAGTAAGTATTTGAACACCTAAGAAACAGCAAGAATTCTGACTCTCAAAGACCTGTTACAGTGCCTTTAAAAAGTCCACCTCTACTCCACTCATTAATCTAACTTAGTAGCACCTGTCTGAGCTCTTTAAAGACACCTGTCCACCCCACAGTCAGTCAGACGCCAACTACTACCATGGGCAAGACCAAAGAGCTGTCAAAAGACACCAGAGACAAAATTGTGGACCTCCACAAGGCTGGAAAGGGTTACAGGGCAATTGCCAAGCAGCTTGGTGAAAATAGATCAACTGTTGGAGCAATTGTTAGAAAATGGAAGAGGATAAAGACGACTGTCAGTCTCCCTTGGACTGGGGTTCCATGCAAGATCTCACCTCGTGGGGTATCACTGATGATAAGAAAGGTGAGGAATCAGCCCAGAACTACAAGGTAGGAGCTGGTCAATGACATGAAGAGAGCTGGGACCACAGTTTCAAAGATCACTGTCGGTAGAACACTACGCCGTCATGGTTTCAAATCATGCATTGCACGGAAGGTTCCCTTGCTCAAGTCATCACATGTCCAGGCCCGTCTGAAGTTTGCCAATGACCATCTGGATGATCCAGAGGAGGCATGGGAGAAAGTCATGTGGTCAGATGAGACCAAAGTAGAACTTTTTGGTCTAAATTTCACTCGTCGTGTTTGGAGGAAAAAGAAGGATGAGTTGCATCCCAAGAACACCATCCCTACTGTGAAGCATGGGGGTGGTAACATCATGCTTTGGGGGTGCTTTTTCTGCGAAGGGGACAGGACGACTGCACTCTATTAAGGAGAGGATGAATGGGGCCATTTATTGTGAGATTTTGAGCAACAACCTCCTTCCCTCAGTCAGAGCATTGAAGATGGGTCGTGGCTGGGTCTTCCAACATGACAACGACCCAAAGCACACAGCCAGGATAACCAAGGAGTGGCTCCGTAAGAAGCATATCAGGGTTCTGGAGTGGCCTAGCCAGTCTCCAGACCTAAATCCAATAGAACATCTTTGGAGGGAGCTGAAACTCCGTGATGCTCAGCGACTGCCCCGAAACCTGACAGATCTAGAGGAGATCTGTGTGGAGGAGTGGGCCAAAATCCCTGTTAGTGTGTGCAAACCTGGTCAAGAACTACAGGAAATGTTTGACCTCTGTAATTGCTAACAAAGGCTTCTGTACCAAATATTAACACTGATTTTCTGAGGTGTTCAAATACTTATGTTCAGCAGTGCAAGACAAATACATTCTTTAAAAATCATACAATGTGATTTCCTGAATTTTTTTTTTTAATTCTGTCTCTCAGAGTGGAATGCACCTACAATGTCAATTTCAGACCCCTCCATGATTTCTAAGCCGGAGAACTTGCAAAATCGCAGGGTGTTCAAATACTTCTGTTCCTCACTGTATATGGGTAAAAAAACATAATAAACATGCATAAAATTCATTAAATGTACATATCATTGTATCAGAAGATTTTTGTTGGTGTTTTTGATGGTTGTATTAGGATTTAAGATTAGTTGGAGGGGTATAATTAAATTTTAGGATTAAGCATATTATAAGAAGTTCAATTTAGTGTTAGCTTTTGGGTTAGAGGTTCATTTTTACAAGTGAAATTTAGAGTTCAATATTACAGTTAGATTAACTGTTAAGGTTCAGTTGTACATAATTTTTGAAAGGGTGGTTTGCCTTACACTGCATTGATGAGAAGGTTCCATATGCATCCCTCAAATGGTGGAACACCCTTGAACATTGTAGGCTGAGCATCAGATGGGATCCCACCTACAAAGAGCTTTTTCACGCTTAATGAATGACCTGCTGGCATCTTCAGTGTCTGGCTTCTATCTTCATCAACTTGCACGGTAAAAACACTAAAAAGAGAGAAAATACAGAACTATGCTTTGGAATTACTGTTTGGCTGTATAGAAGTATAATATCATATATTTTGTTGTAATGTACATGATTTTAAATCCGTAGCCCTTGCTCTGGCAAATTTAAAGCTAGAAACAATACAAAAGGGAGAGAACACACAACAGCCCTAGTGTAGTAGTTTTATTGGAGCAACAATTAAAAACCTTTCCTCAAATTTTTCAAATGAGTTTACAGCATATCAGTGCCTTACAGCAGCCTCCTGCATGATCACTGTAAGATCCGGTGTAAAAGGATGCCTCTGCATAACCCGCTGTTTCTATGCTGAGTCCGCCCTGACTGAACACCGGAGTGCCCTCCCAACTGTGCATGCTCCTGATCCAGCTACTTCACTGATGAAAGACCGCTGCACAGGCAAAGGGATAACAGAACAGGAACACACATAGCGGTTGGTATGATGATGTATTTCAGAGGCGTGGCCTCCTTTATCAAGTCAAGCGACACCTCCGAAACGCGTCATCACAGCAATCACTATGTGCATTCCTGTTCTGTCATCTTACAGTGATCACGCAAGAGGCTGCTGTTAGGCACTGATACACTATATACTCATTTGCAAAATGTGATTGCATTTGTTGAAAGGTTTTTAATTGTTGCTCCAATAAAATTGTATTACTCTAGGGTGGTTGTGCGCTCTCTCCCTTTAGTATTGTTTCAGGCATTTTTCCACCCCCACAGGAATTTATAGAGAGCTGCAGTGCCAAACACTTTGGACATTGACTTTGGAAAATCTCCTAACCACTGTGGTGAATTAGACCAGCGCACCAGATAGTTTTGTTTGTATAAATCTAAAAGCTAATAGCTTTTATATTAACCAAATTAGAAAAACAACCTGTTGCACAGCAAAGAGCAATAATGTTCATCTAATGATCTGGTCTCTACTTTAGAAATGCTTTTAATGCTGATTCCATCTGCTTTGCATGTACCATTCTGGAAATGGAAATGGCTTTGGTATAGTAAAAGTTTTACGCAGCATTGCTAAGTTACATGATTACACTCAGTTGGCTTTAAAACAGCATGGGAGATACATCTGTTTGGATTATTATATCCAGGAGTAAGCGGCTTCCATTGTCACTGAATGACAAATCAACACACGCTGCTGAATATTCACACCACGGGAAGCAAAGCTAGATGTACATTGAATGTAAAATGTGATAAATTTACAGGTACCTTTAGAGGGCAATACAAGCAACCTTGTTCATGTAAGAGAAGTAATTGCATTGTTCTCTGTTCTATTAACTTCATAGTTTAGATAAACAAGAACAGGATGTTCTTTTCATCCTAAACTCTGGCTGAATACTGGCATTAGAAACATAGTGCTTTTCTCAGATTTAAGATATTATAGCTACGTACTCATTTAGAATGCATGAGATAGAAGTTATTCTAGCAAGTTTACCAGGCAGTGGGAGTATAATCATTGCAATTTTGTCTACTTAACAATGCTGTTTATTACAATCATTCTACAGTTAGGCAAGCGTGATTGTTTAAAACAAAATCAAGTGCATGTAAAATAGGTAACAAACCTGCGCAAATTGCTTTGAGCTATCTGAATAAATCGGTGAATATAATAATTGAGACATCACACCCAGGAAGCATCCTAAAGGCGGCCACCAACACTAGCAAAATATCCACATTTCATTTTTTAGATATCAGAACAGATATCAGGCAGGGGTGGACTGACCATTCGAGCACTGCCCGAGGGCCCGGGGTCAGTGGGGGGCCCCATGAGATGCCCCTGGTACCTTTCATTGGCTTTTTTGGGTGTGGGAGAGGACACAGGGGCCCCATGATCCCCTACTGCCTGGGGGCCCCATGAGTTGTCAGTCTGCCTCTGATATCAGGTATCTGATACCAGATTTATTCCACATTACACTTCTCCCCCAACCCTCCCCCAGCCCCCCCCCCCCCATCCTGTTGTACTAGAAACGTGTTCATTTTTGCTGTGATCTTATGATCTAGTCAAGGAAACTGTGTTAGAGATTAACCAAAGAGAGCGAAAACCTTTGCTTGTTAACATATCTAACTGTTTAGATACCCTGACTTTTTATCACCAAATATACAAAATTCCTAAAATGAACAGACACAGACATAATTATGGCAGAGAAAATCAAGCATACATCATTGGCTTTAATCCCATAAAAAAAGTTCAAAGCTAATGTCACTTACTTTCTTGACCTTTCAATCCGGATAGAGTGTTCTTTACCATCATGAAATTCTCCCTTCTCAGGTCTAATGGTTATTCGATGTATGTCTTTAGGTCCAGGGACAGAAACTTCCAACCTCCCTTTTCTTAAAAGAACTGCATAAAATACCTGAAGCATAAAGAATTAATGTAGCTTTAGGGCAAGATCTGATGGGTCTTTTGCAAATGATTTCAAATTACTTTTTGTACAATAGCACAATAAGTAATAATATAATATACTGTTAGTTTTCTAACAGTGTGGACTTCATATTAGGCCTCGCATGCACAGGACACAGGAAGATTTGCAAACTCTCCTAGAAGTCTTTCTTCTTGGCAGCCACGTTTTTGGCAGCAAAAAATCCTGACGCTTGTAAAAATGTCTAAGTCTTTTACAAGCTTTTAGGCGCGTTTATAGGTGTCAAGAGCTTGGAACTTAATTTTATTGGCCAGAATAATAATTTATTCTGGCTATTAAAATGAATAGACCCTCCATTGCTAAACGCAGAAAGCCATGTTGTACAGAGTTTAATATGGAACTCCAGGAAAACAGCTAAATACACACTTACAATACATATACAGTATGTTTTACTGTTTTTAAGGGGTTTTCAATTCTGCACAGCTAGTTTTGTGACTCAAACATGCTGTCACACTGCTCCTCCAGGAAAGTCATACTAATACTTCATAATTCATCTTTATTTCTTCCTGGATCACCTCCCTGCTAAAATCACAGAGATGTTCAGGCTGATTTGTTGCTCAGTGAGCAGACTGGAAGGGTAATGTAGAATGCAAAACTGTATGGATAAGCCAGGAAAGAAGTGTCACCTGTCACCGGTTGTGCAGCGAAGCAGATGTGTGTAAAAAAAGCTGCCTATAAAAGAATTAAAATTGATTTGAATATATAGCATGCAATATGTTACCTGTCCACTTTGCCTACGCTTCCTTCTTGTAGAAAAAAGATTTCCTCCATTTCCAAATAAAATCATTCCAGATTCATTTTTAGTGCTAAACGACAATGTAATCTCTGTCCCAGGGTCCAGTGATACTGGTGGTACTTCTACATATCCAGGCTTTGCAAAACTTACTACATATACTCTCTGGAAAATGAAAAAGGCACAAATACAACATCAATTAAGAAAGGCATCTAAATTTACATGCTGATACAATACCATTTATGCTCTGCATTATTGCTCCAAATGAATCAAGATTCAACCAAATTAATCTGTTAGATAAAGTTGCTGTATCTGTCATTCCAAAATATATATATATATTTTTTTGTTAAAGGTGTTGATTAAGCTTATAGGGCCTGCAAATGGTTCTTTAATCATTAATTAAGGATTACAATTCTGAACATATTAAACCATGCTTTGAAGTGAATGTTGTATGTAGGCTGTTATTCCACATTCCTAAAACTTTATTACATTCTGCATACTACACTTCCTTTGATATGTCAGTCTGTAACATTAAAAAAATATTTATCCATACCTAGATGCTTCTAAAAAGTCAAAGAGACAGATTTCTGATAGCAAATGCAAATTTATTTAATATACTGCACATGTACTAGTATACAAACTATTGGGAATTGGGAACCGGGAACAGAAAAGAACATCCCAGATAAAATCCATAAGATCTGACCCAAAGTCTGAGAGCACTGTTGAATGAGGAGTTAAATGATGACAGAAACTTCTAAGCTTTGGCATTCAAAGCATATATCTTTGGAAAAATTCCCCATTTTATGAAGCTTCACTGCACTGTATTAGTGCCAGTTCACATATATGTAGATTGGATGGGGTTGGAACCACGTCCAATCCACACGACATGTGAAATACCACTGGCAGTGCGGATTCAGTGCGGATTGAAAGAGTCCTGTAAGATTTCTGAGCAGTGCGGTCCGATTCAGCCTTCTGACTTCTAATTTCTAATTTGCACATGTGTGAACAGGATAAAATCCTGACCTCTTTCTATTATTATTAATATTATCTGGGGGTCAAAGAGGGGGACTTCTTCTTTTCAGTACACCCAAATTTTAGCAGAGAGGTTGTTCTGGATTTAGTTATCAAGAAATCAACATCCTTTGGTCTTTGTGGGTCACTAGATTATAGTGTAACTATTTTTATGTACAAGGTCTATAAGGCCCTATTGGTTGTGAATATTCTGTTCGAGTATTAGATAACTATTTCTTTCTTTCACACACAAAGTGCTATGGATAACCAAACCAGAGCTTCCTTAACATTATTGGTAGTTTCAGGGGACTAAATACTATGCTGAATACGCATTTATGCAAATTCCCTTGTCTTTCATGTACATATTTCTGCCCCCAATTTTCTGTTTTTTCTCCTCAACAAGGTGGAACTTGAAAACCCTTTAAAGTTTGGCTGAGCATAACTTCCAGTCCCCGAATCAGTGGTTATTTGGAGAAATAGAGAGGTTCAATCTCTCCAGTGAAGACACGGGCAGCAATACAAAAAAGAGGATTGTTAACCCTTCTCCATGATAAAGGTTTTAGCTGAAGTTCCACTTTGAGACATAATACTACCATTACATAATTCAGTTTATATTTCAGTCTTTCAATGTACTGCAGTTAGACTCTAAGATTGCATACTGTACATCCTGGTTCGTAGTAAAATTGGGAAGTCTACTTCAATCAGTATAGCATAGGATAAATTGAGTTTAAGGACACATGACTGCATTTACCTTATTTGTTGCTTATAATAAAACTGTTTTATGGTCTTAATTAGGAACTCAAGCCATAAACTACTAGAAGTGATCTCTGCTGAATAGCATACAGGTAATATTATAATGCAATAAACAGGTTGTGTACAAACTAACAGGATTATAAATCTTTTTTTCTTCTGAAGTTTTGAAAGAGAAACAACTTTAATTAGCTGTCACAATAGTTGTTGGTTTATGTTAAGTTAAGTTTTAGTTGGAAACCATGGGCCTATTCAAATGAATAAAGCCTCATAAAATAAATATTGTATTGAAAAACTCTAAATATGACTATTTTAGGTATTGTGGTAGATTCTCCTGTACGAATGACTAGCTAATTAAGGCCACTCTTTTTACTGCAAAATTAGGCATTTACTCAGACTTACTGCATGTTATACCTAAAATAGAAATTTAAGCGAGAGTAAAAATGGATTTTTAATGATCAGTGACGCTTTAATGTCATAATATAGACTAAAGAAAGGTACATTAAATTACAACAGTACATTACATTAAATCTTTATACACGTTGAGTGTTTATTTGGTACACACAAATGTAATAACATGATTTAACATTGAAAGGTTTAAAGGTTTAGAACTTTAAATATATTTCAAGCAGCTTATTAGAATTTAATGTAGTCACAAGGAAAAAAACAGAACACTGGCAAAAAAAAGCTAGTCCCGACAGATAAAATTCGTTGTCAAGACTGAAAATTAACTCTCAGTGGGGAAAAAAGGAAGGGCCATTTTCTAGGAATCAAAAAATGCTAACAACATTTTTACTGAACTTTTCAGAGAGTTACTGCTGGAGAAGAAGACCAGCTCTAAGGAAATTACAGTTTTCATAATTTACTGTATGCCTATCATTGTGTTTTTCCAAGAAATGAATAGAGGCAAATAAAAATTATTCAGTGACGGGCCTATAATTTAATCAGTTCATCCAAAGAAACTGTTTATAATCCATAGAAATTGTAAAATGTAATATAGTTCTTATGTGTTTAGCAATTTTAGCATTTCCCTTGATTTGAGGCTCTGAAGAAAGTGAAGCATCAGTCATTTTCATGAATGGGGGAAAATAAAATGGGAGGAGAAGTCATAATACTTCTCCTCCTATACCAATGTGTTCTCTGCAGCATTATGCAGGACACTGCTGTCTCTGTACCATGGCCTGCATTTTATGATTTGCTAATAAAATGCAGGCGCACTGTGGAGTAAACACTGAAGTGTTCAGTATATAGTATAGATCAATATCTGTTCTCTGTTTAAAACAGCTCCCTAAGTGCCTGCCTCCTGCAAGTGTTGACTAGAAGAGCCAGAGAGTCTTAACCCTCCATGAGTATTTGGGAGGGAAACCTTTCATTTAAGTTACATATATCATGGTAGAGGAGCAGGGTTTTGCTGGTTCCCCCAAAACTAGTGATTTGATAAATGATGGAAGAAGCAGCAGCAGGATGAGTACAGAAAACACAGATCTACAATAAGCAAGAAGATTCTTGCACTGCAGACTCTCAGGTACAGCTTCCTCTTCAGCAAGAATAACAGTGAACAGTGGAGTAGTAACATCATCAAATCTCATTTTAGATCTCATCAGGCTAGCTCCCGTCAACAAGGAGGAGTGCTATAGATCTTACAATGATAACCAGTGTGACAGGATGAACGGCGAGGTGATAGAGGGACGCTATGTGTCACCTCGCATATGCTCATACCTGACCGTTTAGGTGGAGTCCACTCCGGGTTTTCGGGGCCACAGTTAAGCAGGTGGGTCCGGACCAGAGTTTGGGCTCCACTGATGACCACCAATAGGTGGTATAAATAAGGCAGGGCTGGAGCAAGGAGTTGCTCGTGGCCTGGGACTCAGAGAGGTGTTCTGAGAGAGCTGTGTGTGTACTATACCTACAAGAAAAGGTTTGCTTTTGTTTTATTTCGGTGACAGGGAGAAGCCCTTCACCTCTGAGAGAGGAAACGCCTTTTGTTTAGTTAGTGCCTGGATGGCAAGGGTTTATTTTCATGTTCTGTTTATTTTCTGCAAACCTTTTAAATAAAGCTGACAACCAGTCAGATTTTGAAAGCCTGCTGTGCGGTCTACCTTTGTCCCAGGGAAGGAGATCCCCCACCTGAGCTAACCCCACACCAGCTATGAAATTCAATGGAGAGAACTGCCTAGATACAGGAAAGTGCAACACTACTTTTCAAGATGATTTTAAGATCGAAAGTACATTTGTAGGCTACTGCCTAGGCACAATATTCTTTTAAATGGTCCCTATCAAAAACCTAGCACAACTTTATTTTTCAGTTTGGGTCCACTATAACGCCTGATACACACATTAAATTTTTTTTTCATTCAACCTTACATGTATAAATACATCAGTGGTTCATATAGTGAACTCGGTGTAGAGTTATTCACTTTGAGGTCATCACAGAGCACAAGGGTGCACTCTTTACGTCTGGAGGAAAATAAATGTAATCCCCAAACACGGAAAGGTTTCTTCACATTAAGAATAGATCCCTCAAGAGTTGGTTCTGGCCAGCTCAGTGGATTGCTTTAAAAAAGGCCTGGATTCTTTCTCCTATACACACAACATAACTGGTTATTAACATTTATAGGTAAAGTTGATCCAGGGAATATCCGATTGCCTCTCGGGGAATCAGGAAGGAAATTTTTTCCCCTGCAGGAGCAAATTATATCATGCTTGGGTTTTTGCCTTCCTCTGGATCAACTGTGGGTGTAGCATTATAACTTTTTTTTTATATTAATGGTTGAACTGGATGGACTTTTGTCTTTTTTTCAGCCAGACTAACTATGTAAAAAAAAGAGAGATCGCTGTACTAGGACAAGCGATGTGCCCCTTCCCGTCGGAACACACTAATCAAGGCATGTAGCCATTGTGCTGATTGGATGCTGGTTTTCCAATATGTCCCTTCACCAAAACAACAGTCCTTAGACCAGCTTCTGACAGAAGGACATCTGTACAAATGGTCCAAATGTCAGCCGATTCCTGCTATAACAGCCAATTTTTGGGCTTACAATATGTGCACATGTGCCTAGGGTGGATTATGCTGATGTGTGCAAGCAGTCCTCAAGAGCAACATAACATAATACAACTGTATTGTGAGTGAATTGTTATCACACATACAGTAAGTAAAGTATCTGCTTTTCTAATTCCAGGTTAAGCCTAAATTGGAAATCCACCTTAACCCACTGAGTGTATGATATCTGTCTTGTAACAACTCATATTTTATGACTGTCTGTCAACACTATTGCTATATGATAAGACCATCTGAGTGTTGTTTGTAACAATTGTGTGTTTGGAAGCAATGTTTTTTAATCACAAAAAATGATTTACCAGCATGCTAATACCTGAGCATTCCTTTTCTTTAAAGATAAAGAAAC